TCATGGAAAAATGGAGATATAATTGGAAATCATAGGAAATAATTTGTGGAATATCATGGAAAATGGAGATAATATGATTGGAAATCATTTGGGAGATAAATTGGGAAGTAATTTGAGAAATATCATGGAAGAATGGAGATATAATTGGAAATCATTTCGTTTAAAAAATTGGGAAATAATTTGGGAAATATCATGGAAGAACGGAGATAGAATTGGAAATCATGTGGGAAATAAATCAATTGGGAAATAATTCGGAAAATATAATGGAAGAATAGAAATATAATTGGAAATTATTTGGGAAATAATTTGGGAAATATCATGGAACAATGGAGATATAGTTGGAAATGATTTTGGACATACTGTGTTAATATAGCAGGAGATAATGGAAATGAGTGACAAAAATTGCAGTTGAAGGTGGCAAGAATTGAGATATGTCGCCAATCAAGACTAGATTATGGCTGGCTTGATGTAGAGATGTGGAATTTCTTGGTATATCCAATATGATGTGTTGTGTGTATCCAGCATGCGATGTTTTTTTTCCCGTGAAAAATGGCCGTTGAAGCCAAATGTTGGTGTATCTTTCCTATGGGCCAAAATGTAAAAGCCAACGGACCGCAGATTTGGTGAAAAAGTGTGGTATGAACCTGCCACTTAAGTTGAGCTGCCCAACTTGTTGACCATACCCACATGAATGTGTTTTTGTGGATGATTGTAATGTTTGCCCCGTGGGTACACCCACTAAAGCTAACGTGGAAGCCTGAAAATTGGGTGAAGATGATGTTCCTATTCGTTTTCCGAGGTTTCTTTGTGGATTTACATCTTAATCCATTTTTGGAGGCTGCTACCAGCATGGGCATCAAAAAAAACACAGTCTTCATCGGGCCAGCTCCTCGGTAGATGTCGCGAAACTGACAAGATCAAGGTTGAGCAATGACCAAGACCATGGTTGATTCCTTATTTCTAGGGGGTTCTGCTAACTGAATAGTATGTGGTTGGGTATATTAGTGGTTGGGTGTAGGCGATCATAATCCCCAATGTCGGTTGATCATATATTAATATATACCCTGCTGCTTGGTGGATTGAAACCATGGAATTTTATGACTTTCCATTCAGTTGCGAAAAGTAAACATCCCAACTGACGAACTCATGTTTTTCAGAGGGGTAGGTCAACCACCAACCAGCAATTGGTTTATTGGAAATTACCATTGGGAATCCCCAACCAACTGGCTGACAAATGAATATTCCACTGACAGCTTGATGCTTGACATGTGCTCCAAGGAAAGATAACTTAGTTATCGATCCAAATATCGAGCATTTTTTTTACAAGATACACCCAAAAAGAGTGAAAATCAGTGACTTCCATCTGTTTCTTTCACTTCGTTTCGTCACCCCTCCCTATTTCTCTCCTCCCGAATCCGCCGAGATCACCCCAGCGAATCTGAAATTGGTGAAGTCCCCTATTTTAATCACGCACATTGTTTCAAATATCCATTTGGATCTTGGCGTAACTACCCAAGTTATATAGTTTCTATGAGTTTCTTTCAAAGAATGCCCGTGCTTTTCTATCCGCGCGTGTTTGTTCTTTGTTACGGCAAAGAAACACATCACTGGTTGGTGGTTTCAAACATTGTTTATTTTCCATTTCATATATGGGATGTCATCCTTCCCATTGACTTTCATATTTTTCAAGATGGTTAAAGCCACCAACCAGGTTATTATTAACCGTCATTAACCATATCAAAACCATATATTAACCATTATTAACAGTATAACCATATAATAACCATATTTCTTACGGCAAAGAAACACATCACTGGTTGGTGTTCAAAATCGACCTGTTCTTCCGCGGCCCCGTAGATCCCAACGAAGTATCTGGAAGAAGCTTTTGATCGAGTCGTCGTCGGCCGGAGCCTCAGCGGCTTCACGCTTTCGGGGACGCCCAGGATGAGGGGGAAATTCGAAACGAATGGTTTGGGATAAAATAGCCTTTGGTTATTTAACATGGCCATGGAAAATCAACATTTTAAATCATGTTCATAGGTACATCATCTACAAATGGGTCATCTATACCATAGCAAACTGTAACAAATACCCTCTGGTAAATTAACACAACTATGTAAAATCACCATGATTTATGGGTAAATCAACTATTTCTATGGCCATTTTCAATAGCAAACTGTTAGTTTACCAGAGGGTAACCAGAGGCTAAAATGTCAAGACCTACGTAGCTGGGGTTGACCATCCCTTTGCCGACTCCAGAAGCTGCGAACGACAGCACCAACTAAGCCAGGTGAGTTGGCGAAAGGTCGAAATGTGCTTTAGCCATTTTCCACCTAAATATGGAGGTACCATGAATATGTGGTTTATCCACAATAACTATGGTTGTTTATCCATGAATATGGTTTATCCACATAAATAATCTGCTTGGTGGTTTGGGACATGAATGTATTATTGTTCCATTCAGGTGGGAACGTCATCATCCCAACTGACGAACTCATATTTTTCAGACGGGTAGGCATACCAGCAACCAGAAATGTGCTTTAGCCATTTTCCATCATTTTGCGCCCTTTAGCCATATTACAGAAATTGGAGAATGAATGGGATAATGGTTGATGGCTAATTGTATTGAGGGCATGCCATGGTAAGGAAAATCGGTGCCCCATCCAGATATACCAACCAGCCAAGCCCAAGATGTGGGGCCCTGGATGATGTTCCCGTGAAAACACGGCATTCTGTGTATTGACCCACCCCACCCATGCGTTTTTGTGTACTTGGTGGAAGCAGTCCCATTTGGGACTGGTTACTGGGAGTATCTGAGTATCTGTTATCTCAGTTTGCCATGGATAACTGGTTGGTGGTGTGGAACATGAATTTTATTTGTTCCATTCAGTTGGGAACATGTTTTCATCCCAACTGACGAGTCATATTTTTCAGAGGGGTAGGTCAACCACCAACCAGATAATCTCCCAATGATTGCCGCTGGGTTTTTTCCCCAACGCTTCAAGGTCTTGAACGGAGAAATCCCATGAGCGAGCAGGAGAAGAAACTCACTGCGTGCGCCAGATGCAATACTTGGTGATATACGTGAGATACCTCAAAAGAAAGATTTTTCATTGGGTTGGTTGAAGGAAACTAATTTGGATGAAACAATGATAAACCACCCATTTGGGAATGGTTTATAGCACCTATAAAAATAATGATGACTGGGGGATGGTAAGCATGACATTGTTTCACCCACATTACGGGAAAGCCTACGGCCTTAGCCGACCATAACCGGCCTAAATCGTCCAACTCTGAGGTGGAGCTGTCCTTTGACCACCGGTTGATTCGTACAGGGGTACCATCAACAGCCAGGAGAGAAGTAGACTCTAATGTTTTGTTAAATCATGAAAACCTGGAAACAGCATTGACATTGATGATGATGATGATGATGGTAATGATGATGGTAATGATGATGGTGATGATGATGGTGATGATGGTGATGATGAGGATGATGATAGCCTGATAGCCTTGTAGCCTTGCAGCCTTGCAGCCCTATAGCATTATAGTTGATGGATGATGGGTGTTAATGCGTGGATGAATCCATTAAAACTGGAGGTGTAAATCTCCGCCGACATCATGTCATAGAGTTGGAAGAGAAAAGAGGAACACAAGAGGAACACAAGAGAAACCCCTAATCTTCAGGCTTGAGAGCCGTGGTTTCTTGCAAGCTGGTGACCCCAGTTAAAAGTATGTTTAGACACAATTATAGAGATGTCTACCATAAATCATAGAATTCACCTAGTGAAATAGAGGCACTTAGCTATCATGAATATTCAAAAATCAGCTATAGATCTCCATTGTTCTTGCTGACGTCTCCATTTTAGGTGGATAAAAGTCACTTATCCACCCAGCTTGGGGTTCCCACCAAACATGTAACGTTCCACCAATATGGACACAGTATGATTATGACCACTATCGAATTCCAATCCTCAAATAGCTGTGAACTATGGATAACAATTTTTATTGAATATAATCCTGAAATTGTTATAAGCCAGAAAATTCCGGAATAATGTATAATCCATTTAATTGCCCATGGATTTACAATCCTCAAAGAGTTCTTCTGCAGACATTGATTTAGTCTATACAGTTCTATACTGTACTCCCTAACTATCCCTGAAATATAAAAACAAGTATAAACATAATGTAATCCATAAATCCATATCAAGGACAACTATTATTGAATATGTTCCATTACGATGCCATAAACCATCCCCCAGTCATCACCGTTGTTTTTAGGTGCTACGTTTACCAATCATAATGCTTATAAATGGGTTTTATTGAATATAAATGGTTTTAACCCATCATTCATAATGGTCAGAACGATTATCCAATAAAATAGCTATGGTTATCTATATCATACTATGGTTTATCCACATAAAATAATACATCAATGGAGGTACCATGAATATGTGGTTTATCCATAATAACTACGGTTTATTTATCCATGAATATGGTTTATCCACATGAATAAGCTGGTCGGTGGTTTGGAACATGGATTTTACTTTTCCATCGTTTGGGAATAATCATCCCAACTGACGGGCATATTTTTCAGAGAGGTAGGCCAACCACCAACCAGTAATGGTTAATAACCAACAATAAAATAATAAATCTTTTGGGATTCTTAGTAATATACATCAAGAATATCCATTATTCATATGGGATCATTATATTAGTAATGTTACCTAAATGGGTGTCTAGCCAACAACCAATAATAATGATATTTTAATGACTTAATCATGGTGCGACTGTGCAATGACCTAATAAGGATTAACCAACAATGGGGATATTTAATGCTATATTCAATGGATTACCATAGGAAGATGCTGATTCATAGGGATATATATATATATATATGTATGTATGTATGTATGTGTGTATAGATATATATATATATATAGCCATACTATATATATATAAATAAATAATCCATAGCTATTGATTCTCCAGACTCCATAGAGGTACCATGAAGGCGGCCACACCTTGGTCTCCATCGGAAACTCCGGCGCCGTCCGGGACGCCCAAAACTGTGCGGTGGGACGGACAGCGTCGACGTCCGAAAAACACGCCCAGGTGGTGAGTCAAACAAGAAAAATTTGGTGATTTAATGGTGGTTTAATAGGATTGAATAAGGATTGAATAGGGATTTCATGGGGTTTAACAGGGATTTAATAGTGATTTCATTGGGATTTCGTGGGATTTCACGGACATATTCTATGGGATTTAGTGATAGTTGAGCACTATGAAAAACTTCGGTTGGTGGATGAATTTCTACGTCTCTGCATGGGTAGTACATGGTTCCATCCTAGCAGGGTCAGCCATTGTGGTTTACAATTGTTTTGGCATGTGGGGCTGGCTGTGTCAACTGCGGGACTTCTAGCCTTTGAGAATGGTGCTGCTCATGAAGGTCCAGAAAATATTACTCCTGAAGGTGTAGGAAAAGTTGCTGGATCCAAGAAAATGCTGAGGACGCAGGTGGGGATCAGGAAGAAGGTGTAGAAGAAACGGCTGATGACCATTTCCGGCTAAATGGCATGTTTTGGCGCTTGGAAAGGATGCAGTTGCTCACCATGGTTTGTAGGTATGTTTGACCACTCAGATTTGGGAGATACTTGATAAATGATGGTTGGTTGATGATTACAATGAACTTTAAAAACTAAATTGGGATCTACAAGCCGAGAATCCCTAGAAAACCAACCAGATGTCGGCGTTCCGCCTGCTTGAGCTCGATGAGAGCTACAATTGCCGCATCCGCCTACTGCACCTTCCTTCCTTCCTTCCTCAGAATTCTGCCAGCAGACTCTCTCCAGCTTCCCCGTCAGTTCTTTCTACACAGCCACTCTATCCCGAGCTCGCCAGCTTTTCGGACCCCAACACAATGCGAGGGAAAATGTCAGATAGAATGCCTGATGAGATGCTATAGAAAGAATGTCAAACTCAAAGTCAGATAAAACGTCGGAATGTATGTCAAATAAAATGTCCAACAGAATGCCAGAATGCCACATAGCATGTCAAAACAAATGTCAGCCAGAATGCCAGATACATTGCGAGATGGAATGTGGGAAGTAATGTCAGACAGAATGCCAGATAGGGTGCCAGATAGAATGTCAGATGAAATGTCAGATAGAATGCCAGAATAGAGTGTCAGATAAAAAATCATCCAGCAAGCCAGATTTCTAGCAATTTCTTGCCCATATTCCAGGGCCGAACATATTCCATGCCAAAATAGCTGGGAAATTTGAGGGAATTGCGAAGACCCCTTTCAGGTGAAATTTGTATTTCATACAGTTTGCCAAGTACTCCTTATCTTCTGGCACGTACGTTGTCGACTGCACATGTTCTTCCGCAAAGAAGATCCTTACTTTCAACAATTTCTGGAAATGTCATAATTAATAATGTTGAGCTTTCCAAAAATGGATTAATAATGTTCTTATGGGAATTTGTCATCTACACTTTTCAGGATCTCAAAACCCAATTCATAAGCTTTAAGCTTATGTTCTGGCACGCTTGGCTGGCATTTCACCAGCAGCGCCATCCCCATCTTTCTTGACATCTTTGTGGCCCCGCAAAGAGCCCTGCACAACAGGATCTCGGAACACAAATCATCGACGATCCTGTTTTCTTCCGTGCAAACTAATTCCACCGATAGAGTACGATGCCACCCCTGGAGTGCGCTAATTTTCTGGAATGCGAAAATAAAACAGTATGCGTGGCCCCCTTCGACCTTCCCCATGGATCCAACACCAGTTTTTTCCATCATATACCAGAAAATTATCACATTTCACCCTGCTGATCTTTTTTTTTCTTTTTTTTTTGTTTGGTCATTTTTGGCCAAAATGGCCTGGAATGCGATAGTATGTGAAACTACAGACGTCTCACGCGAAACCGCTACCTTGCCCATATTCCAAAAAACGTGATTCCAGGCGATTTTAGCTTAAAAAAAACTAAAAAAAAAAACGCAAAAAACGAAAAATCACCGAGTACGAAGATTTTATGGAGTGCGAAGATCTTGCAGAGTGCGTGGATATTATAGCATGTGCACGTCCCTAGCTGTGGAGTGCGATGCCCTCGCTGGAGTGCGAAGAATTTGTGGAATGCGAAGAATTCCGAGTATGCGTGGCTGGTATAGAGACCACATAGGGAAATTTCGGGGCCAGAACCAAAATTCCAATCCCAAAGCCAGCCCAAACTTCCAGGGGCACACCAGTGGGTTCTATTTTTCCGAGTTCACCTTGGGTGAGGCCCCGGGGAAGAAACTTTCTAATTTTTACTCAGCCAACCTTTAAAAACGTTACCCTTGACAACCCTGTCCTTCTTCGGTAGACAAATGAAGAAACTTCCTTATCAAAGCAGCCTTCAATTCATTCAACGTCCACAGCTGCTTTGGAACGACATAGGGGATAGAAAGCTGTGGAGGGGCATTCAGTGGATTCGCCGTGGCCCAACTGTTCCCTCCAGATTGAGCTGAAATGCCTATCAAAGTAACATACCAAAACCCAGGTCTGGAGTACGATGAAAACATGGTATGCGAAGATTTTCTGAATATGGGAATGTTGCCTCTAGAAGATTATATGCCAGAATAATCTTAAATAAAAGGTCGGAATCTAGGTCAAGCATGATGCCAGAATATGTGTCCGATAGATTGTCAGCTGGGGATCACTCCAAGACAGTACTTCTTCTGTGTTGATCGTGTATGTAGCTCTAAGCCGAGTCCGTTGTTTGTCAAAGCTCAAGTCCTTGGGGCTCACAGATGCCATTCGTGGACTCATCGAGGGGGGGCCTCCACCAAGTTTGCTTCAAGGTTTTGCTTTGTACTTTGGCGACAAGCTGGAAAAAACAATTGAAAAAGCTCGAAAATATAGAGAAGCGTTGGGTTTGCCACTTGAGTTGTGAAGACGCCTGCTGAATGTGCATAAAATGAATTTCGCTGGTTACGACTATCCTCTTCGGACAGCACATGGCGCGTTGCAGCAAAAAGACATGCCATGTCAGCAAATACCAGCCAAGCAAATTTGATGCCATTTCTAAACATACACATGAATTGACACAAGTCTTTCAACAAACAGTTTTCCAACCGAAATTCCAATGGATACAACTGTTTGCTCATTCCGACGTCTCGGTTTACTAGATGCGCTATGTTTTTTCCGTCAAGACGGACATTCTACATTCTCACAGCACTACTTGAATGCCATGAGATGCTGACATGCTTACACACACTTTTGAAAACTTTGACCATCGAAGTTCGGTTGTGGCAGCCTGACAAGAAAAAGTCACATACTGCGTCTAGAATTTGTTTGCCTTGTGTGGGCATGTTTTTTCCTGCATGGCATTGCCCGTCATCGTCATAAATCTAGCTCACCACACTCATCGCCGCCGCGAACTGCAAGCATTTCTTGATGATTTGAAACTCCAAACAATCTGGATTGATGCCGTGGATGGAGAGAAATTGAGGCAGAGTCAAGGCCGAGCTCGTCATATTGGCGGTGGCCGAGTGAGGTTTTGCTGGAATACAGAAGATGGCCGGGCCGAAAGAACATTTAATCTCGGAAATAGCTTTCAGAAAGGACAGACTGCTGCTTGGGGCATGATGGCATGCTCCATGAGCCATGAGTGTCTTGGCGACAAAGGCATGTGGCTTGTGCCACAGCAAACAAACGCTGAGACAAGAAATGCACATGCAGCGCATACAGCGGCACTTGTTTGTTCACGAAGTTCGTGTCTAAACAACATGATGACACATGCTGTCACTAGTGCGCAAACATTCCAACTGGTTGCCACGTACAATGCTTTCGCATGCTTACAAGTGATTCCATGTCGTTTGTCTTTCATGCCAGACGCGGAGTGCTCAGGAAAGCCTTGCAGCTCGGACAATCTTTGCCTCGGGCACACTGCTACATGGTTTTGGAAGACGATGTGTGGGCAGATGATGCAGTACTTGTTCGAGAAATCATGACAGAAGCTCAACGTGCCATGGTGAAAGATTGGATTGTTCTTCAACTAGGTTCCCGCAACTGTGGACGGGCTCCGCATTCCTTGCGACGGACGGTTTAAAAAACTTTCAGATGGTTTCAAGCTATGTGTTGCAGAACGCAACATCTTAGCACATGCCTATGTAGTCAACAAAATACACGGTGATCTTTTGTTGCATCACTGTCGCATGGGCAAAACTTCTGATAACATGCTCCAAGCAGTACAGAATGCTTGCTTGAGAAAAAATGCGGCGCTTGTTATACATAGCGGCCGTCATTACTTTTGCAATCAAGACAGCATGCCTCTACTACATGCAAATTCCTTAATTGGGATCTTGCTTGCGCAAGCTCTACTAGTTCGCAACCTATGCTACTTGCAAAAGATCGAGGATTCCAGAAAATCAACAAACGGAAACTTGCAGACATCAGACGGGGAGGTGCTCAACGAGGTGGGAAAGTCTGTGCCGGGAATGGCACGACTGCTGATCGTCTTGAGGCAAAAAAACGTCGAATCATCACATGGGCCAGGAAACACGGCTTTCCGCTTTCCGTCCCGCAGGGTGGCTCAACAAAAGTTTGGTCTCTCCAATGGCCCATGGACAGCTTTGAAGATGGCCTGGCAAAGATGAGGCATTTTAATGTAAGTAGTTTTGATTTCCCCCACGATGCAAAATCATTCATCTCGCTGGGACATGTCGCGTTGCAAAGAAAAAGTTGCCTTGTGCCGTGCACGCTCTCAAACAGAAGACGGTTTTTGTCTTGTCTTTGCTGGCAGTGCAGCAATTCAGCTCTTGATTTCATCACTGTTTCCAAGAATTGCAAACGCAGACAAACAAATGATCAACTTGTCTTTTCTTGTGGACTTTCTGTGATATTAATGGGCTCCTGCTTGAACAAGTCTTCAAATCACTATACCCCAGCCATGTGTAACCACTACTTGCGCAGGTCGAGACATCCGCTATATCACTGACCCATTGACGCGGCATGAAAAAGCGTTTCTGAAATCTTTTCTATCTGGGGTCTATGCCAGTGTAATTTCTT